GGCTCCTGGCTTTGGATTGGCCCATCCCAGGTTGTTGCAGCCATTTGGGGAGTGAACCAGCAGATGGAAGATATTTCTCTCTGTTTCTCTGTCTCTCCCTCCCTGTAGCTCTGTCTTTTAAAACAACACAATATTCTTTAAAAAAAATTTAGGGAACATATTTATAAATTTAAAGGGGCCTGCATTGTGGCATGGTTGGTGAAGCTGCTGCCTGCATTGCCAGCAACCCATATGAGTGCCAGTTTGAGCCTCTGCTAATGGTTTGGGAAAGCAACAAAGGATGGCCCAAGTCCTTGGGTCTCTGCACCTAGGTGGGAGACCCAGATGAGGCTCCTGGTTCCTGACTCTGACCTGGCCCAGCCTCAGCTGTTGTGGCCATTTGGGAAGTGGACCAGAGGACAGAAGATCTATCTCTATGTAAACTGACCTTTCAAATAAAAAAAAAATTTTAAGGTTAAGATTATAGATGAAAGTGGTCACATACTACCAAAATAACAAAAGTCCATTTGGTCTTTTGCCAATTATACAATTATTCCCACCCTATCTTTCACTGCCAATCTTGTTGAGAATCTCTGTGATAATAAGCCACCACTACTATTGATAGTATATCCTATTCCTTGGTTGTTAAGGCAAAAAAAAAAAAAAAAAAAAGTTTGAGGCCCACTATCTGACTTAAGGTATGTTAACACAGACATGGGTGAATAGGCCAAGATCTCACAGCATTTTATTTGCATTCCCTCTTACTGTAAAAATGTTTAAATCAATATACTACCATGGCCAAAATGCTAAGACGAAAAAAATTATCACTAAGATTTTTAAAAAATGAATACACTAGTTTCAAGGTGGTCAACAAAAATGAAGAGATCTAAAATAAATATACAGATTTATAATTATATTTTATATTTAATATGAAAAATACTCATAATTATTGATGACTTTAACAATTCTGGATATTCTATGAAATGATACTAATTTTGGCCGGCGCCGCAGCTCACTAGGCTAATCCTCCACCTTGTGGCGCTGGCGCACCAGGTTCTAGTCCTGGTTGGGACGCCGGATTCTGTCCCGGTTGCCCCTCTTCCAGGCCAGCTCTCTGCTGTGGCCAGGGAGTGCAGTGGAGGATGACCCAAGTCCTTGGGCCCTGCACCCCATGGGAGACCAGGAGAAGTACCTGGCTCCTGCCATTGGATCAGCGCAGTGCGCCGGCCGCGGCGGCCATTGGAGGGTGAACCAACGGCAAAAAGAAGACCTTTCTCTCTGTCTCTCTCTCTCACTATCCACTCTGCCTGTCAAAAAAAAAAAAAAAAAAAAAAGAAAAAAGAAAAAATGAGTGGAATACTTTAGCAAGTATGGTGGAATTGTTTGATATCACAACTTATCAGCAGAGAATAAATAATTAGAAATGAAGTTTTTCAGGGCCGGCGCTGTGGCGCAGCAGGTTAACGCCCTGACCTGAAGCACCAGCATCCCATATGGGTGCTGGTTTGAGTCCCAGCTGCTCCACTTCTGTTCCAGCTCTCTGCTACAGCTTGGGAAAGCAGTAGGGGATGGCCCTAGTCCTTGGACCCCTGCACCAACATGGGAGACCTGGAAGAAGCTCCTGGCTCCTGGCTCTAGATCAGTGCAGCCAGCCGTTGCAGCCAATTGGGGAGTAAACCAGCGGATGGAAGACCTCCCTCTCTGCCTCTCCTCTCCTTGTGTAACTCTGACTTTCAAATAAATAAATATACCTTTAAAAAAAAAATCAAGTTTTCCAAAATGCAAAAATTTAGAGAGGCAGAGACATAAAGAGAGCTCTCATCTTCTGGTTCACTCTCTGAATGCCTGCAATAGCCGGGACTTGGCCATACTGAAAGTTGGGAGCTAGAAACTCAATCTGAATCTTGTCTTCCCTCATGGGTGGCAGAATTCAACTATTTGTAATAATCCATTGTTATCCTAGGTGTTCATTAGCAGAAAGCTGGAGTTGGGAGTGGAGTGGGACTTGAACTTAGGCAGTCTGATATGTGATATGGGTGTCCTAAGCAGTGTCTTAACACTAGGCTAAATGCCCATCTCCAAAATAAAAAATTTAAGTAGAAGCGTAGATGACTTCTTCTAGTTAATGCTAATTAAAGATAGTAGATGTTTGATGGACAACACATCTCTTCAATTTTTTACTTATTTGACAGTCAAAGAGACAGAAAACACTCCCATCCACTGGTTCACTCTCCAAATGCCCACAGTGGCCAGTGGTAGGGAGGGTCAGGAAGGAATAACACCAGGATCCAGGAACTCAATACAGGTCTCCCATTTGGGTGACAGGACCCAACAACTTCATCCTTCACTGCTGTCTCCTAAGGTCCACATCTGCACAAAGCTATAACATGGAGCTGGAGCTGGAGCAGGCAATGGAACCCAAGTAGTGTGATGTGAGATATGGACATCCTAACCGGTATCTTAACTGCCAGGCCAAATGCCCAATCTAGCATATCATTTTAAAAAAATACTCATTTAACTTCCAAATCCTGAATACCAATGAAAAGTACTCCCTCAATTTTTTGTGAAGGAGTTGCAGTAATAACTATTTCTACAGTTTAGTTAAAAAATAAAGATGGGGGCCAGCGCAGCAGTATAATGGGTCAAGCTGCCGCCTGCAATGCTGACATCCCACGTGGGTGCTGGTTCAAGAGCTGGCTGCTTAATTTCAATCCAGCTCCCTGCTAACATGCCTGGGAAAGTATGCAATAATGGCTCAAGTGCTTGGGCCCTTGCACCCACATGGGTGACTTGGAAGAAGCTCCTGAATCCTGGTTTCAGCCTTGCCCAGCACTGAGCTGTTATGGCCATTTGGGGAGTGAACCAGTGGATAGAAGATCTCTCTCCCTCTCTGTCTCTTCCTTTCTCTGAGTAACTCTGTCAAATAAATAAATAGATATTTTTAAAACATTAATAAAAAATAAAGATCTAACCTACTGGTTAAGATGCCATTGTCCCATATACAGGGGTTCCCAGTACCCAGGTTTGATAACTGGCTCCAGCTTCTGTTTCCAATTGATGTAAACCCCAGAAATCAGAAGTGATGGCTCAAGTAGTTGGGTCCCTGCTACCCACATGGAATACTTGGACTGAGTTCCTGTCTCTTGGCTTCTGCCTGGCCCAGTCCCAGAGGTTGTAGGCATTTGAGGAGAGAACAAGCAGGTGGGAGTTCTGTCTCTCTAACAAACTTCAAAACAAATTTAATGAAAGAAACCAAAATCCCACATAAAAAAGTTAATGAAGGAATTTCTGCAATGTTTTTGATAGTACAGTGCCCCAAATACAAAACCAACATTCTAATAAGGTATTTGAAAAAGAGTTTACATGAAATTCTACCAGATCTACATAGGCATTACGTACCTTAAACACACAGAAAAAAAAAAGTCCCTGAAAACTCCAGACAATTAAAATTTTAAAAACTTAAGTTCTAAACTACACATATACATTTCAATTTAAAAAAAAAAACAGCAGCAACATCCTCTCAAGTCAAGATTAAACATGTCTTAGGAAGGCAGCATACGTATCACTGTAGATGTGGAAGATTCTTGCAAATTATTTTACAAAGACCAGCATTCTCAACTATTGACCTTAAAGATCCATGAGCTTTGTTAAGTCTTTTTGACTTGCAGAAGGGTGTAGTGTATTTTTTTTAACATACTTTACAGAAAGTTCCCATCATTTTGATAAAAGTGTTTACAGTCGATTCTTTAAACCAATGAAACAAACTGTGTTTCTAGTTCAGAGTTCTTTTGACAAGGCTTTATAAACAAAGTCTTACCTTCATAATTTCGGTACAACAGATCTGGGCTACTTGGCTATTGAACATTATGCCTAATATGGTTATTACTGACACTGGCAATGCCAGTGGTTACGAATTTCTTCAAGTAAGAAGTGTGCTCAGAGAAGCAGTTTTTGTTCTGATTTCAAATATATGCATTAAGTATATACATGGTGACTGCCTCCATAATTCATAACTTTCACATTATAATTTAGGATTAGTCAATAGGCCTGAGGTCCATCAGGGGTAATTTATTTTGCTCCACCGTATTCGAGGTAATTTTATACTACCTGGGAGTACAAGTCGTCCCCTGCCCCTCCTCCTCAGTCCTCCTCCTAGCTTCTGATCTAGGAACCAGCATACAACACACACACATACACACACACACACATATACACCTCGTCCTCTCTCAGTCCTAGACCCTAGGGTACCGATTTAAAAAAAAAAAAAATCCCCATAGAAGATCTGTAGTCCACCCAGGGAAGCAAACGAAGAGGGAAAATACCAGAATCAGTCTGCACCCACACCTTGGCCCCGCCCCACCTGGAAAAACTGGGGGGTGGCGGGAATGTGAGGGTGGCAGAAAGGACAGAAAGGGCCGCGACTCCAGGCTCCCAGGCTCTCGCCACCATTCATTTCGTCAGGTTCCGCCGAAGGCAGGGACCCTGACCCTATTTTCAGCCTCGCCTCGCGATCCTCCTCCCCGCCACCATCACAAACCCACGGTCCTCAACCGCAAGAGTCCTGCGTGGAGAGAGACCATAGTGGGCCCTGCTCCTGCCCAATCCAAGGGCTGAGACGGGGGTGTCTCCCCCCGCCCCGCGCACTCGGCGGGCCCGACGCCCCGGGGGCCCCGGAACCGACCAGGGAAAGGGAGGCAAGATCGGAGGGAGGGGTCTAAGGGGAGCCGTTATCCCTTTTTCCTCTTCGTTAGGAAAGCGCGCGAGAGGGAGGGGCCGGAACAACGAACGCCAGTTACCTAACGGTCCGGCCCGGCCGGTCAGGCTCCCGACGCGGAAGCCGCGCGCGCCGCTGAGATGGCAGCACAGCCTCGCTCGCCCCCAGGGCTAGGGACCACGGCAGGAGCGCCAGGGGTGATGAGGCGGGGGGTGGGGACTATGGTGAGCGACGTCGCCATGTTAGCGCCTTCTTTCTCTTTCCCTACGGTCGCCAGCCCTGCGGCCCTCTCCCCATCACTACTCACCTTTGCAGGTCACTGGCTCATGATCCTTTCGGTCGCCCAGGAGCCCGAGGACAGCCGTGTTTACAAACTACCCCGGAGGAAAGGGCTGAACCGCACTTTAAAGGCCACGGGCTCCCACAGGCTTCCGTCCTCTCTCGCGAGATCAGACTGACAACCCTTCTCTCCGCCCCACTCCCAGCATCCCCCCTTTCTTCTCGCGTCCCGGCCCGCCACGCACACGCCCCTTCTTGCCTTCCTTCTGAGGGAGCGCCTCCGGGTCAGGTGATTCCGTCAAGCTTAAGGAAATGGGCGGGCCCTCAGGAGGGCGGGGACGGAGGGGGCGGGAACAAAAGAACACCCGGGCGCAGATGATTGGAGAAGGAGCCTGAAGGGCGGGAAGCAGTTCTGGAAGGGGCGGGATCAGAGAACCCAAGGAGCGTCGTCTCGGTAACCCTGGAGCTGCGGAAGGCTGTGATTGGCAGCCAGCTGGAGGCGGGCGCGGGTGCTGGGGCGCCGGAGCAGGTGGCTGTGTAGGGCGCGGGAAGGTGTCGGGCTTGGCTTGTGAGACACGGCGAGTGGCTGGAAAGAAAGCAGGACGCGTTCTCCGAGCCCAGCTCTGAGATCTCACCCTATTTCCGTTGCTGTCACTTCCTGGCCCCCGGTAGGGAGGTGGGAAAATCGAGGGGAGGGGAGCCTCTAGCCCACCTCCCAGCTACCCGGAAGACTGGGAGGGGGAGCTTCGGTTCGGCTGAGATTTGGGAGAGGCGGAGTTTGCCGATAATCAAGCAAGAGAAGTGGGTTCTGAAACGAAAAGAAAAAGCCTTTACCTTGGATGAGTTTTCTTTGAATTTACTAAGCTATAACTGGAACTGGGTTTTCGGAGTTCTTTTTCCCAGCACCTAGTACAGTGTAGGATATTAGCATGTAATTTTGTTTGAAGTAATTTACCAAAATACACTGTATTTCCAGTATATCACCATCATTTAAAAACTAAGCAACGACTTGTTTCTAAGAGCAAAGCCTCCATATTAAGTGTATTCTATTTTATTATTTTTCCTTTTACAGATAAAAATATATCAATTTTAATAGAGCTGACTTTAGCCCTTTAAAACTGCAACAACCCCCTATTAACGTTTCCTAGAGGACCAAAAAACACCAAATTAGAGTATGACATGGAAATAGCACCCTTCTTTGTTTCTCTGCCTCTTACATAAGTAATAAGACAACTACATACCACATTGGAGTACGTGGTTTGCTTCCTGCTAATGGACCCTTAGTGACAACAGTGATGGCTTAAAATCAGGTTCCTGAGCGCACATGGGAGACCTGGATTGGGTTCCCAGCTCTTCCTGTGGTCCTGGCCCAGCCCCAGGCATTGCAGGCATCTGAGCAGTGAACCAGTCTATCAAATAAATAATGAAAAATTTAAAAAGCAAGCAGTTCCTGCTTGTCTGTAGCTAAATATAACCCAGAATACTATACACTAGGGTATCTCCTATGTCTGCATAACTCCTATGTCTTGCCTAACTAATCTGTGGCTGAGGGAGAGAACCTCTGGATTTTCATGGTATCCTGAAGATGTAGCCTAATACAAGGGATTAATTGGGATTTTACTAGTGGGATCAAGAGGTAGGGAGTTAGAGGTGTGTGTGTGTGTGTGTGTGTGTGTGTGTGTGTGTAGTGAAATAGCAGGGGGAAGCAAGGCATAAATAACCCCCTGAATCTGAGATGAGATGAGGCAGCATGGACCTAGACAGTTTAGTTGATTTGTTTCGTAGCTTTCATCTCATGGCAGATCTTTCTTGACCCACTCTTGACAGCCCAGGGTTTTCCTGAACATTCCTGACATGGCCCATGTTAAAGTTACCTCCTCAGCACATGTCCACTTAGAAATTTCTACTTAGGACATTTCAAGTGCAGAGATGTCCAATCCAAATCCTTGGGTTATCAGAAAAATGTATAGTCAATTGTGTCACTGTGGGAAAAAAATTAGAGAGCTGTACTCACCTTCAAATCATACCCATGAGCTATGCCAGCTTCAGTGCAACCAGCCCAGAGAGGGAGAACAGAATTTAAGATGGCTTTTTCTTTAGCTCTCATCTGACTCTATAGAAAGAGGGATCACCTTCATTATATTCTGCTCTCCCCACACTTCCAAGGTATCAGTAAAAGTGGGTGAAACCCTCCCTAGTGTAGAGTTGTGTAGCATCCGAGTATCTACCCTTTGTGGCTCCCCGTAACCAGTCTATTTGTCAAGTTGAGGCCTACATAATAACAAAGCCATGGATTCCTTATGCCAGAAACCAAGACAGGTCTGTCTGGTCCTGTGGTTCCTCCTGGGTCCTTGGAACTAACACCCTGTTCTTTCCAATTACCTTCTTCCCTTGCATACAGCCTCTTAGGTCAACTGTCAACTGACTTCTTAGTGTCTGTGCTCATAAAGCATCTGTATATATTGGCATGAACATGCCATGCACTGTTCCTGGCTGTGAGGCTGCCACTATAAATAAGATGAAGTCCCTTAAGGAGACTGTGGCGTGAGGAGGGATGAGGAGGCACATGACATACATCAACAAAAAGATAATTTAATAGTGGTAAGTACCACGGAGAAAATAGGGTATGATAACAGGGAGTACTGAAAGCTACGTTGTTTGACAAAAAGAGAACTTGAGAGTAACAGATACTGTAGAGAGGTCTAGTGAGGGGGGCAGTTCTGTGAGCTGTTCCCAGAAAATACTGCTGTTTCCAGCATCTGAGACTCGGTCAACCTATGTAGCTATTTGAGGAGGCAAACCCTGGGACTCAACTATAACAGGAGATCCTGGAATCCCCGTGGCTGGGAAGTGCTGACTAAAAGCTATTGTAGAAAAGCAGCCACTGCCAACAACCATTGATCCTCAGTCCCTATGAAGATCAGCTGTGGGATGCTGGCTCTTGCTAATAGGAGGGACAACCAAAGCCCTAGGATTTATGAGTCTCTGCTGGGACTTAGGCCAATTATGAGTCCCTCTTAGGCCAAGTCCTTTCTTCAATATTTGAGCTCCCTTGAGAAAGAAGACCTAAGTTACTAAACATTCCAGAGATACATTACTTACGTCATTCAGGAGAAAGTACAAATTCTTGCTGGGAACCAGGACCAGTTTTTAGAGATTATAAACAGATTGATGGCTGAAAGTATGTGACCTAGAGTGATAAGGGTGGGAGGGACATGGATATGGGTAGGGGGAAGAGGAGTATAAATAAATTCATGCCATCTGCTTTTTAAGTAATCTATAAAAACAAAGGTATTTAAAAAAATAAATTCTGTACCCATGATAAGTTTTTGCCTCTGTAAACTATCAAAGCAAGTCAAGGTATCATGTTGCTGTTGGCAGAGACAGAATGCAACTATCATATGTGCTGAGGCAGAGGATGGTATTAAATGTGCCCCCCCCCCAAAAAAAAGTTGTCCTTAATGGTGGACCATGTGTTTGAGTCCTAAGTACATCATAAGATCAGTAGACTAATACCATGAAAGCCAAACTTAGCTTCTCTCCAAGATTTTGAACTCTGAAATTCTTTAAATTTCTTGTCTCTTGGCTCTTACAAAAATGGGTGTTCAACCTGATTGAGAACCCTGGGCCCTTGAGTCTTCTCTTTTATTCCAATTTCTTACCCCTATTACCTTCACCTGTTCCTTATCCTGTTTGGAGTTCATAGGTCAGTCTGTTGAACACGGTGCCTGTATGCCGCTTCGGCCTTCCTCCATTTCTTCTGGCCAATTCCCAGCCCGAATAATTTCTATCACTGTGCACCTCAGTTCACATTAACAAGCTTCCCAACACTGCTGGAGAGTCACAAAGTAGGTCAATGAGTTTCACTACAAATTCACATTATCTACCTGGAGTTGGGTCCTTACTGGTCCTCTGCAGTGCATTTATTCACATCTCCATACCACACACCATACCTTTCCTCTTCCCAAGCCCAGAATCCATATGTAAAATTATACCTCCTCTATTTTTTTAAAAATTCACCATTTCACCCAACTAGCCTTTTCCTTGTCATCCCTACAACAGTCACATAAAAAAACCAAAGCAAAGGTTTTAGAATAAAAGAAGGTCTGGCTTTGAATCATGACTTGGCCACTTAGTATCCATGTGACTCTGGGAGTTAACTCTTCTCGAGCCTATTTTTCTTTGCATATTGAAAATGAAAAAAATCCCAATTTTGCAGGATCATGATAAGGGTTAAATGGCTGTATATGAAGGGTCTTCACAAAGTCTATGGAAAATATGACTTATGAAAAAAAACTATGCATGGATTTCAGAATTTTATACCTAAAATTATTCAATTCCATTTTCCTAGGAATTTTAAACTGTAGACCAAACAGGATAAGGAACAGGTGAAGGTAATAGGGGCAAGAAACTGGAATAAAAGAGAAGACTCAAGGGCCCAGGGTTCTCAATCAGATTGAACATCGATTTTTGTAAGAGCCAAGAGACAAGAAATTTAAAGAATTTCAGAGTTCAAAATCTTGGAGAGAAGCTATGTTTGGCTTTCATGGGATTAGTCTACTGATCCTATGAGAGGCAGAGAGGGGAGACAGATGCTCCCATCTGCTGGTTCTCTTCCCGGATGTCCACAATGGCCTGTGCCTGGCCTGAACCAGGAGCTGGGAATGCAATCCAGGTTTCCCACATGGGTGGGTGCAACCTAGTTACCTGAGTCATTATTGCTGCTACTCACCGGCAGGAAGCTGGAGTCTGGAATTGAACCCAGGTGCGAATCTTGACCCCAAGGTAAATGTATCTCTTTCCACTTTTTTTTAAACTTATTTATTTGAAAGATTTAGAGATCTTCCATCCACTGGTTCACTCCCTAGATGATCTCAAAGGCCAGTGCTGGGCCAAGCCAAAACCAGGAGCCAGGAACTGCTTTCGTCTCCCATGTAGGTAACAGGGGCCGATGAACTTGGGCCATCTACTGTTTTTCCTGACCATTAGCAGAAAGCTGGATCAGAAGTAGAGTAGCAGGGACACGAACCAGAGCCCATAGGGGATGCTGGCCTTGCAGGTGGCAGCTTTACCAGCTACACCACAATGCCAACCCCACCACAAACTTTTTAAAAGTACTCTTGTTTATAAAACATGGAGCACAGAGAAAAGCTATTGCACCATCTCTCTTCTAACTGGTTCCCAAGATCTAGGAATCACGTTCTACTGCTGTAACTTTTGCAGGCTCTTCTTAAAATACTCATTGCCAGGGAGCAGGTATTTAGCTTTACAGTAGGGAAGTGCCTGGGTTTGATTTCTGGCTCCAATTCCTGGCTCTAGCTTCCTGCTAATGCAGACCCTAGAAGACAGTGGTGACGGTCAAGTATTTGGGCACTGCCCATGTGATGCCATTTCTGGCTCTCAGCTTCTGCCCCAGCCATTGTAGATATTTGGGAATGAACTGACAGATGGGAGCTCTCTGTTGGTCTGTTTCTGTTTGTCTTTCTGCCTCCCAAATATTTAAAAAAATAAATAATATATGCATTGCACCATCCTTGACTTTTAACAAAGCTACTGCAGCAACCCACTGGTCGTTGCTAAACTCAAGTCCATCCCCCACAGTGATCTCATTTTAATCTAATTGAAACAGATCTAGTTTCAATGGCTGCCTGTGGTCCTAAGTATAAAGCTCCTGCTCTTAAATCCCAGGTTACCCAATTTGGCCCCAGCCGACCTCTGCTTCCTTATCTCACACTGTGTTGCCGTGCTTCTCATGCTGTTCCTGAGGCAAGAAGCCCTCTTCATCTGGCCTGCCCTCCTTACCCCAGCTCCTCGAGGTTTACCTTTTTTCACTGGAAAATTGTCTCTACCTGCTCTGAACATCTCAGCACTTACAACTCTTGTGGAATTCATCATTTCACCTTCAATTTTATTTGCAAACATGTCTAGTGTTTGTGGCTAGAGGACAAGCTTCTCTTTAGTTCAAAGACTAATTTCATACTAAAACCTGTATTTTGAGTTAGTCCCAAAGGCATTAAAATAATAAAAACAACAAAAAACAAAGTCCTGCATTAAGGAAAGGGAACACTATATCACCAAATAAAAAGGGCACCTGAAAATCTGAGATATCTTTTGGAACCACATCTGTGCAAATTTGGTTTAACTGGCACTTCACCACTCTAGGGTGTTCTTGTCTGCCAGAATTTTTTTAAATAAGTCAGTAACATCTTTTATCAGTCCCTGCAGAAATTAAGAAGTTAGTATAAGCATTTCCCACCAAAATTTGTTTTCAAAGCCCGTAAGTGGAGATGGTACTTCCTAAAAAAATGGTACACAATAAACATTCCTGTTGAGTTGATGTATTCCAGTGATGTACTTTCAAAGTCAGAAACTGTTACTAGAAATAAAAATAGTAGAAGGATATATTCCAGGGTAGTGAACCTCTGACGCTGTTATTTCCTTTCCCCTTCTAGATAAAATAGCTTGCAGTTATAACAGTTATACTTCTGAATTATCCCATTTTCTAGATTTATTTATTTATTTATTTATTTTTTTGCTCAGTAACCTGAAGGCCATGCAACCACAGGCTCAAGTGTTAAGTATTTTCTTTTCATTCTCAGGAATTCCCTTTGCTGGGTATTTCCTGCAAGAAACCTGGTCCAGAATCAACGTTTCAGGCCTCTCAACCACAGAACCAGCACCAGAAATAGGTCTTTACCAAAGGTGATTTTACTTAAAATGAACTTAGAATAGAGGACTAGTTAACCTAAGTATTCCTGGGCTATTTTAAAAATTTGCTGAGATTTTATACTATGTACTGTAATACAGTATGGTACTTTTAAACTGTAGTAAAATTTCCCATTTGAACCACATTAAAGTATACAACTCAGTGATAATTATTGTATTTACAATACTGTACAATCACTACTATCTAGTTTCAAAATATCACCCCAAAATGAAACATCATACCTATTAAACAGTCACTTGCCATTCTCCCCTTCCATTAGTTGCTGGTAACCATTTGGTTGTTTCTACAAATTTGCCTACTTTGAATAATCCATGTAACTGGAACATACAATACACGGCCATTTGTATTTGGCTACTTTGACCTAGAGTTCACTCCAAGGTTCACCCGTGGTTAGCATTTATCAAATTTTTCATTCCTTTTTATGGTTGAATAATACTCCACCATATGGAAATATTGTTGATCCACTCATCAGTTGATGGGCATTAGGCTGTTTTCACCTTTTGGCTATTATTGATAGTGCTGCTATATTTGCATCCAAGTTTTTGCAAATACTTGTTTCCAATTCTTTTTGGTATATACGCAGGCCTGGAATTACTGAGTCACTAATTCAGTACTACTTTTTATTATTAAATTCAAACACACAGTAGTACAGTTCAAGAAAACAGTCTTGGTTCCAGGAATTTAGACTAGATTAAGCAACTAAAAGGTGGCAGTAGTTCTAGCTCTTTAGATTCTGGGAGCCTTATTTCTTTATAAAATGTAGCAAGGTTATATGTAAGTTAGCGATTTTTTTCAAAGAGAATGCACAAAAATTACCTAGGGAGCCTTTTTAAAAATGCAGACTGCTAAACCCAATGCCCAAAGATTCTAACTCAGTAGATCCGGATGCTGAGGATTTGTGTTTAAACAAGCACCCTGGCTGATTCTAAGTGTCTCCCCACCTCACTTAAATTCTGCTAACAACCAACTCTTTCCCAGTCGAAATCAAATTAGAGGGCACTAAAGGACTAAACTGTAGATCTAACCTTCAAACAAATCCTGAAACTTAAAGAGGACAAATAATATCATGGTAGAGTATATTTGCTAGAGGAAAAATTCTTTCTATAGTAGCACCTTTTTTTTCTGTTTCAATAGGATAAGACTCCCACCATAAACATATTAAGTACATGTTAAGTATCAATGGTTAAGTACTGCTTTGGTATCTGTTGACTTTTAAAAAATGCTGCCAATTCAGTTTCCTCTTTTTAAGATAAGAATCTTGTTGGGGCCAGTGCTGTGGCATAGCAGGTAAGTAAGAATCTTGTCCAGGTATGAAACTGGCTGCTATCTAAATTGAGTCCCTTCTTTGAACACAGTTAAGATTAATTATACATACTTGTTTAACCTGATTTACTGAGAAACACTCCCCCCACACACTCAAGTCTAAGGCTACAGGACTTAAAAGTCTTAGATTTGGGGGGAGTCTAAAAAGCCAAAATGATTTATTTCTAGAACTAGCTTTTTAAGAGCACCCAAGTCAATCTTAGAAAGTGATTCAGCTTCCAAGTATTTTATTCATTTGGCCCTTAAAAACAAAAAAATCATCTTGAATAATTAACTCTCTTGGTTTAATCATATTTAACAGAAACTTGAAGCATTCAGTTTATTTCTCCTTTACACGAATAAACAAAAGCCCTATAAATTACAATGTGAATAACACTATATAAAAGAATTCCCATAAAAATTACTGCAGGGTCTTTCTCATTGGTGGGGGCAACTATTATAGCTTCCTCTGCCTGGATGCATGTTCTTCGTGATGATCTAAATTCAGATAAGTACAAATCACAGCAAAAATTAAAGTTTTCATCTTTAATGAAATGACTCTGGAAATAACGTACATTTCCATGACACCAACACTACAGTTTTCGGAGTCACATTAAGATACACAGAATTACATCCGTAATTAATATGAATGCCAACATTTCAAGCAGTAATTTCTGTTACATGGCAAACAAAATCAAGAAAGCAACCATCAAACAAAAGAGACCCATAGCTTCAGACAAGGCAAATCCCAGGATAGCATATGAGAACAGCTGCTGCTTCAGCGAAGGGTTTCTAGAAGAGACACAACACAGGACTGTTACTCTGAAACACAGTGCTTTTAACATGTTTGGTCAGTGTTAGAAAATCAGGCGACTTCCGAGGGGATCTTTGTCAACTGGCAAGTCTACGGGAAGAGTATCTGCCTGGATCCCTTTTGCTGCTGCTGTTGCCACTCCTCTTGCCCCAGTGGACAGAAAAGAATGGAACTGCATCCACGTGCCATTATAAATGATTAGTGTGTATTCATTTTGAGGGATTCTGACAGTCTTATTGCTATGAAAGTATGTTCTATATCTTTTAAGACTATTTAGAAATCTTAAATGGTAAGATGGAATTAGTATTTTTAAAGAATTTATTCTATTAATCACATTCCCAATATACAATGAAGGATTGCAGATTCTGAAGTCGGACCATTAAAATTCATTTCCTGCCACTTACCAGCTTTGACTCTAGGCAGGTAGTGTAACCCTTCCAACTCTGGTCCTTCATAGGTAGGAGGAGTTGTTCATATTAAGTAAGATAAGGCATACAAAGCCCGCAAGATGTAATGCAAGACAGAGCAGCACTTACTACAAAGTAGCTATTACTATTTCACTAGCTTTTTCCAACTATTTCAAGCATGCTGTTAAATTAACTTATCCAGGGATAGAAATGATTACCTGGCATAACCAATGATGAGGCTGCCAAAAACTGTTCCAATACCAGCACCAGAACCAGCCACTCCTACTGTTGCAGCACCTGCACCAATAAATTTGGCAGCAGTATCAATGTCTCTGCTGATCGCACTGGTCTGAAACTCCCTTCGGATAAGTTGAGACACACCATTCTGGGCCCCATTAAATACCGTAGAGCCCTAGAGAACAGGAAATAGAGGCAAAGGTCCAATCAGTAATCATTTAATCACTGTATTGTCAAAATGATAACTATTTTTCTATTTGTAGCTGAGTGTGAACAGGTAGTGGAATTGTACAACAGAAAAAAGAATCAAGAGCTTTCAATAATTCCAATCTTGTGGTATAAACACTACACCTTTTAAAGTTGTTGAAAATTAACAAACAGTATATATGAATATGCTTTTCAATGGAGGTTTTTCAATAACTATGGCTATTATAATGTTAAATATACACAACTCAAACTATAGATGGAAATACAAATCCTGACTATTTCATGAAAACCATAGGCTGACCTGGTAACAAGGTCTCATTTCTGTTGTTACTACTCACCTCTCCAGTCCTGGCCTCTGGTCGGGACAACACTGATGCAGAGATTGGTCTGTATGCGACTCTGGATCCAGCTCGGATCTAGTAATGAAAAGATGGTTCCAAGTTTAAAAATACAGATAAGAATTGCATGACTTTTCTTGAACCACCCATGAGTTCCAAAAACAGCAAGCATCAAAGATGGATCAGAGACTATTCTGTATTGACTCTTACCTTGGCTGTTGGTCATTTTTCAATACATGAAGTAATTCTAATAAAGTCGCATGCTAATAAAGTTGGAAAGCTTGCTACATAATTTATTTGTAATACTCCAAACAAAAATCCTAAGAACAAAATTAGTTCTTAAAAAATAGTGTTGTCTTTAACATTTCAATTATTGTACTGCTATAATTCAGGTAAAAAAAAAAAGGCAATAAACACTCCAAATTCTTTGGTAGGCTTAAGAGGACCAATGAAGTATTACTGAGAGTGTCACTATAACAGTTGTCATTTAAAATAGCCCGGCAGTTAGTATGAGTTCCCACCACTACCAAGCTACTCCTATATATATCCATTAAGCATAAAATTAAAAAAGGAGTTTAAGCAATTGTACATCAGTTTAAGAATAACCGGAGAAATACTTTGGCCATAAGGACATATTCCAATCTGGCTTCTCTGCCCTTGAATGTCCACTGAAGTAAGGTCACAGAAAACCCCCTCTGAACCAAGACCCGATTCTCTAAGACAAATCCTCCAGAATCAGAAAGCCTGCAAAATAGTTATGAAAAAAAAAAAATACCCCACGGCTGGGAAGCCAGACTTTCGGCTCCCCCTCCCCCCAATTCCTCCGCCCACACATGGCGAGGCAAAGGCCCTCCCTCCTGCAGCAGCGAGTTTGACCTACAGATAGGCACTGGAGCGCGCAGCTGCAGTGAACTAGGCCTCACCGGACCCCGGCAGCCCCGGCAGCCCCCAACCCTCGCGTCGACCCTAACCCGACGGCAGACGCAGGAGGCGGGCGAAGGAGCCGCCCCCGGGCGAGGGGCCGGGAGGATTTGACCTACACCAGCCAGGCCTGACAGCTAGCTAGGCCCCGGCTGCTCCGCACCGCCCTAGTGGAGGGCAGGAGCGGTCCGAGACGACCCAGGATCAGGAGGAAAGAGGGAAAAGGCATCAGGTTAAGGGGCTAGGGCACCGCGGGACCCGAAACGGCGAGATGCCCGCCAACAGGCTGCCCCATTCAACATGTGGACACTCCGGGCAGGAGGCCAGGCCCTCGGTTCCCCCGGCCCAGCCTGGGCTACGCACCAGAGCAGGGGTGCAGGCGAGCTTGGCGCAGGCGAACATCTTACACTCTTCGGGGCGGCGCGGCTGGAGGATCTAGGTGACAGGCGACGTGGGATCCTCTCCCGCTTCCCCTCTGCGGAAGCAAAGAGGCTTAAGGTCAAGTGTCCTCCAGGGGCCTGTCCTTCCCACCCAGGCCCCAGGGGTTCCCGTGCACGCCGTCACCTTGGGCCCCGTGCCCAGAAGGCGCCAGCGGAATGAATGGGTCCCTACTGAGCGCTGCTAGGCCCCGGCCAGCTCGGGTTCCCGCGCCCTCCGCTTACCTTCCCGGGTGGAGGCGGCGGCGGCGGCAGCGGCGGCAGAGGTCGAAGGAGTGGGGCTGGGCGCGCAGGCGCGGACCGGCTCTTATTCGCGGCCCAGCACCCGGATGCAGAAGGCGGGGTATGGAGGTGCACTGGGGAAGACGCTCAAGGTCACTTTGTAATAACTTTATTGGTAAACGGCCCGGAAGGACAAGGACGGCCGTCCGGTATTGGGTTGGCTGGTGGGCGGGGGACGGGGGGGGGGCGGGGGGAGACGAAAAGAAATTGAAGACCAGCGCTGGCGGAGAGGATTCTGAGCAAGCCCTTTCGCTTTTGAGCTGCGCTGAACGGGGAGACTAAAGCGTTTGACTTACTTTGACAACCTGTGAAACTTGGCCTTTTTAATCAGCTGCTGCTTCTCTTTAGAATAGGGGACCCCTTCCCGGTTCTCCTCTTCCTCTGTGAAATAGAACTGGCGGGTGGGGTAGGGGTGAGGCTAGGGGGTCCCGAGCCTAGAGACGTTTTCTATCAAGGAACCCGCAGTAGGGTCCCAGAAGTGCTAATCCTGCAGGCGGACATGGCCTGCCCTAGAAGTACTGGGTCAGAGGCGATGAACAAGTTCAGTGGGTCTAAGAGCTTTGTGACTTTGAACACAAAATTGTTTCTGGGTAAAGTGAGAGTGCTCAATTTTTTCTTCAAGCTCCATGGCTGTTAGAATTAAGGATTTGTAAAAAAAAAAAAAAAAAAAAAAGAAAGAAAGAAAGAAAGAAAAAAAGAATTAAGGGATTGTAATGTATTTCATGTGGAGTTTGGAACTAAAATACATGTTGCAGTATTTTCAAAACCAGCTTTTTAATTTTGGATTTTAAATTTTCTGTATATTTGTTTTTCCGTGACACATCACAAGATTTGGCCCAAAAAAGGATGCCGGAGAAGAACCTACTCGATGTTAACACTTATTTTTGCAATTCTGGACAGATCATTTTCTTAAAATGTCTCAGAAAATGGCTGTTACGAACTTCTTGTCTTCTTAGTTCCTTGAATTATACAAATTTAATTTTGTAGTTCTGACAAATGGCTACTACTTCCAGTAACATATGTCAGCATAAAAGATTAAGCAATTAGGAGATGGCTGGAGACTAAACTCCAGCCCACACTGCCTAGAGCCCTAGCATGAGACATCAGTCTAGAGGATCAACCTTGACTGGTTACCACAAAGGTGAAGGATCTAACAGCAACTCTGGGGAAGATGCTCTTAGGACTAAAAATTTAAAAATGAATAAACCTTGTTACCCAACCAACCTCAAATGCAAATGGTTCAAAATCATGAATCCTAAACATTTCAAGCTCAATCCTTGGCCCACAAAATAGAAAATTCACATGAACAGCTCAATAAGAGAGCTCAAGTTCTAAGTTCTAACTGCAGTTATGTGGTGTCCTGTGGTGTCTAAGTGGAATAAACAATAAGGCCCTATACTTCAACACTAGATTTTTTTAGGGAAAAAATTATTCCAAGTGGGTTTGTGTGCAGAGATTGAGTGACTGTCCTCTTTATTCAGCACTGAATCAGTGGCAGTAACTGTGGAAGAGGAAGCAACAGAGAAGCTGGGATCCCTAACAGGGCTGTTTGCAGGTGGCATACAGACTAGTTGCCTATGGTAAGGAAGTTACGGGATTGTCAAGCCCTGTCTGACCTGAAGTCAAGCCTGTCCTGTTGTGTTGAGGGCCTTGACCATGGCCATGATGCCATTGTACTATTCTAAATACATTTGCTCAGACTTTGCCTGTTTTTGTACCCTAAGGCTTTTGTTAGAGTGGATTTTTTAAAAAAGACTTATTTATTTGAAAGGCAGAGTTACAGAGAGAGAAAGAGATCCTCCATCAGCTGGTTCATTCCCCAAATGGCCACAACTGCCAGGGCTGGGCCAGGCTGAAGCCAGGAGCCTGGAAGTCTATCCGGGTCTAACACATGGGTGCCATCTTCTGCTGCTTTCCTAGGCACGTTAGCAGGAAGCTGGATTGGAAATGGAACATCCCGGACTCAAACTGGTGCTGAAGTGGGATGCTGATGTTGCAGACGGTGGCTTCACCCACTGCACTACAATGCCAGCCCTGGGGAGTGGATCTTTGAGTGACACTGACCCATATTGTTTTGAGGTGGATATTTGCATGGAGAGAACTTAAAAAAAAATAGGTACTTTCTAAGATGACTAAAGTAAGGTCAGAAAGATTAACAAGAGCCCCCTAAGAAGTATTTAATCATCTCTGTGTATTCATGGCCCCTGGGGGACAGTCTGGTGAGTTATGAAACATCATAATTTAATAATAAATGGCAAGCCTGGGTGATGATAGCATGGGGAAGAAGGAATGGGGTAGTGAAGGTAAGTAAGAGCACTACCAAATGTAGTCCCATCAATTTCTCTTATCCTGTATGCCCTTTCATCAAGCCAGAGAGTCTGCTTGCTCTGACCAAGAGAGTGCTTTGAAAGTGAAAGTGAAACAGTGTGATTTCTGGGCCTAGATCTTAAGAGTTGTTTTTTTTTTTTTTTTAAGATTTATTTATATATTTATTTGAAAGGCAGAGATAGAGAAAGAGATGGAGAGAGAGAGAGAATCTTCCAACTGCTGGTTCATTCCCCAAATTGCCATAATGGCTGGGGCTGAGCCAGATCGAAGCCAGGAGCCAGGAGCTTCTTCTGCGTCTCTCACGTGGGTATGGGGGTCCAAGCACTTGGACCATCTTCCACTGCTTTCCCAAGCACATTAGCAGGGAGCTGGATTGGAAGTGGAGCAGTCAGGACTTGAACTGGTGTCCGTATGGGATGCCGACACTGTAGATGGAGGCCCCAATCTTAAGAGATTTTGCAGCTTTGTTTGTGGAAGCCAGTCACCATTCTAGAAATATGAGTCAGATGGCTAACTGATAAGAAATCATATGGATAGAAAAAAGGGCATATGGAAGATAACTGAGGCCCCCAAGGCATGCTACATTCTCTGGTTCTAGTCAAAGCTTCCCACTCAGCAGCACAGGGAATACAAATGAGCCATCACCAATGAGCTTGGCCCAAATTCCTGATTCAGAGTGAAGAACAATGAAGGGTTTGTTGAGCTGTTAAGTTTTTTTTGTTGTTGTTTTTGTTTTTGTTTTGGACAGGCAGAGTTAGTGAGAGAGAGAGAGAAAGAGAGAGAGAGAGAGAGAGAGAGAAAGGTCTTCCTTCCGTTGGTTCACCCCTCAAATGGCCGCTACGGCCGGCGCGCTGTGCCAATCCGAAGCTAGGAGCCAGGTGCTTCTCCTGGTCTCCCATGCAGGTGCAGGGCCCAAGGACGTGGGCCATCCTCCTCTGCCTTCCCGGGCCACAGCAGAGAACTAGACTGGAAGAGGGGCAACCGGGACAGAATCCGGCGCCCCAACCGGGACTAGAACCTGGGGTACCGGCGCCACAGGTGGAGGATTAGCCTAATGAGCTGCGGCACTGATGAGCTATTAAGTTTTGTGATATTGTTATGAACACAAAACTAAAACAGGAAACGTGGAGATAGCAGTATCTTTACATTGGGAATTTCAATTTGGAGTTCCAAGTGTAGCCCATAGTAAAGCAGATAGAAGCCTGTGTCTCCCTGACTCCCTTTCCTTCAAGTACCATGGTAGAGTAAAGTTGTTGGGCTGAACTTTTGTAAGGTAATTCTAATCTAGTTACCAGGAAGATTTTTAAACCTTTGAAAGTTTTTATTTAAAAAAATTTTAAATTTATTTTCATTTTATTTGAAAAGCAGCAAGATCTTCCATCTGCCAGTTCACTTTCCAAAAGCCTGCAAATAGCCAGGGCCAGGCCATGCCAAAGCCAGGAGTCTGGAATTCCGTCTGGTTGTCTCAAGTACTTGAAACATTACTTTCTGCCTCCCAGGGTGTGCATTATCCAGAAGCTGGATCCAAAGTGGCAGAGCAGGGACTCAAACCAGGGACTCTGACAGGGGATGTGGGCATCACATGCTGTGCCTGACCCCAACATTTTCATTGTTATAGTCTGAAACATTTTCACCATCCTTCAAACATCCATGTGATAAATGGAAGTCAGAAATAGAAGTTGAAAATGTTATTTACTCTGTTATAACATTTCATTTTTTCTTATACAAGTTTTGTTTCATGTTATTGACTTCAATTTTGGTATCAACTTCTCTTTAAAAAAATAAAGAGCCCCTGGGGCAGTGCTGTAGCTCAGTAGGCTGAGGCTCTGCCTGTGGCACTGACATCCCATACAGGTGCTGGTCGGGCACTGGTTCATGTCCCAGTAGCTCCTCTTCCAATCCAGCTTTCTGTTAAAGCCTGGGAAAGCAGTAGAAGGTGGCCCAATTTGCTTGGGTCCCTGCACCTCTGTGGGAGACCTGGAAGAAGCTCCTGGCTCATGTTTTCACATCAGCCCTGCTCTGGTTGTTCCAGTCATTTGGGAAGTGAAAGAGCAGATAGAGGACCTTTTTCTCCCTCTCTCTCTCTAACTCTACTTCTCAAAGAAATAAATAGAATCTTTAAAAAAAATAAAGCCTTGGGTGGGGAAGGCAATTGAGTACCTGGGTTCATACTGGCTCCAGCTTCTGGCTCCAGCTTCCTGCTAATGCACACTCTGGGAGGCAGAGGTGATGACTGAAGTAATTGGGTTCCTGCTGCCCACATGGAAGACCTGGATTGAGTTCCCAGTGGAGACAATGTATGCATTTAGATAGTGAACCGGGGGGATGGGAGCACGGTTGGGAGCACTCTTTCTCATCTCTCTGCCTCTAAAATAAATAATATATAAATTTTTAAATCACTAAACTTGCACTAATTTTATGTGATCATTCAACCGAGGTGAGCTCCAAATAAATACTACATCCCCTCTTTGAGATAGTGAGAGTGCAGCAAAAAAAAAAAAAAAAAAAAAAAAAAAAAAAAAAAAAAGAGTTTAAAATATAGTTGGGGTATATAAAAAATTGGACTGAAGTATATTTAAAAATAAGAGAAAAAGCTAGTAAGTGTTCCAGGACTAAGTTTTGTGTATGCTAATGGAAATAGCTAAGAGATTTTAGTCAGAAATTGCCTCTTTGGCTGGCGCCGCGGCTCACTAGGCTAATCCTCCACCTGCGGCGCTGGCACACCAAGTTCTAGTCCCGGTCGGGGCGCCAGATTCTGTCCCGGTTGCTCCTCTTCCAGTCC